TTTGGTGCATCATCTCCCACTGAAGCCAGACTGGGCAGCCTTGTTGGGGAACAGATTTCTCAGACAGACAAGAGCTTCAAAGACCCACAGGGAACCTGAGTTGCACATCTGCTATGTATGTAGCAGGAGCCTCAGTCCAGCCTGTGTATGCTCTGTGGTTGGTGGTTGAGTCTCTGAAAGCTCCCATGGGTCCAAGTGAGTTGACTCTCTAGGTATTTCTGTCGACTTCCTATCCCCTTCAAGACCTTTGATCTTTCCTCTAATTCTTCCATAAAAGTCCCTGACTCTTATGTTTTTAGCTATGAATATCTGCATCTGTATCAGTCAGCTGCTGATTGGAGCCTCTCAGAGGACAATTATGCTAGGCTTCTGTCTGCAAGCATAACAAAGTATTATCAATAGTGTCAGGGATTGGTGCTTGCCCAAGAGATGGGTCTCAAGTTAGTCAGGTTATTCATTGCCGATTCCTTTAGTCTCTGTTCCACCTTTGTCCCTGAATTTCTTTTAGATGGGATACATTTTGGCTCAAAAGTTTTGTAAGTGGGTTCATGGCCTTATCCCTCTACTGGAGGTGTTCTTTTCATGTTCCATAAACCCACTGCTATGCATGTAGGCTAAGGTCGCCCACAATCATTCCTTGGGAACTTCTCCCGACTCAGTTCTCTGGCACTTCCTAGAGAATTCCCCAGGCCCCTCCCCTGTAGCTGCAGACTTCCATTCAGACTGCTCTAAAGACTTCCCACTGTATAAGAATACAAAGGAATTTTCTTTAGTCTGCAAGACTTAGTTGTCTATAATGGGTCAAATGTTAAATCCATGAACATCCATGGTTGAGCTGTGGAACTTGTAGTTGGAAACTTAATTGAGAAAAAAATGTTTTCTCAAACTGATTTTAATATTTGCATCCCCTTCCCCACATCCTATCTTTTTGTGTTTATAACCCCTGTGTGAATAAGTAAAATTACGATTTGGAAAAAAAAAAAAAGCAAAAAGGAGGAGGGGGGATGAGATAGGGTTTTTTTGGGGGGAGGGTGAAATGGGGAAAGGGGATGACATCTGAAATGTAAATAAATAAAATATCCAATAAAAAAGTGAAAAAAGTTTTATTCATATAACTCAACTGCAGGTACTTCCTAAACATATTGACAAGTGGTTTATTTAATACAGAATGGAAGAATAGAAGCCCCTCTGAAGGTACACTGACAGCTTGTAGTATGATATTTATAAGCTGAAAAACAATGAAAACATCACAGTTTATATATTAAATACTTATCATATATATTAAATTAATTTTATTTAATGTGTGTACATGTGTGTGTATGTGTCTGTGAAGTATGACATTTAAGGAGGATATGCTTTAGAAAATCTGAGCCTATAGTTTAGCTATTCTGTCATCTTAGAATATTTTTTTCTCCCAAATAATTTGATGTCTGAATTTCTTCTTGTCATTCCTTCCTTTATATGACCCCTTTTCTGAACCACTTTTTTTAAATAAATAAATCAAACTAAATTTTCCTCTTTGTATCAACTCTTCCATCAACCTTTTGTTTCTATCTTATACTTGTCTCTAAGTAGTATATGATTAAACATTTTTATTACCTATTGAACCTTAATAGTTAATTTTTATGAAATGAGACTACAATTCTATCAAACTCTCTGTAAAACTCCTAGTGCCTTGAGTCATCTCTGGTGTTTAGCAACTATTCACTTAATGTTGAAGATGCAAATTAGGAAAGATTTAATGCCAATGCTTGGTATTAGTGAGGTAATGTTCTAATAGAAATATAACGAGCAAATCAATCAGGTACTCAGCTACTGAATGGTCACAATAATAATAATAATAATAATAATAATAATAATTAGATTGGTGGGGAATAAAAACACTTTAATATATTATGAAATACATATAGAAATGTCCTCTTGAAATTAGATTAGACACTTTTACCAAAGTAGCATGGTATATAAAATATAAACTTTTAGAATATAAGACTATTATCTTATCTGAAGTAACAATGACATAAGACTGAATATGAGAGTCATGATTTATCTTGGATAAAGAGGTGGCAGAAAGAGTCTACCAGTGCACGGGAAGAAGGATTTTGGATGCTGGGAAACATCTGTGTGGATGCAAAAAGTACAACTCTCTCTTGCTTTGAAAAAAAGACTGCTTAGCTTTCTGATAATTTAGACATACATAAGCATTTTCTGGTAGGTTCCATTAAGAAGATTTGATTTTTTTCTAATATGGACAAATGTTCAATAGGTTCAAGTTTGATTGGGTACAATTCATTCAGTCCTGTGTGTTCTCTATAACACTATGCCTGTGTCGTGCCACTCTGGCATAGAACACCCACTTCACATAGCTATAAAGGGTATACAGCTTAGCTTCTATCATGATGGTATTATGCAATCTGTACCCTATACATCGTATCAGGGACTTAAGAAACATTATGATAATGTCCTAGTTTGACTCAGAATTTCAGAAGTATGCATCATCTGAGGTGAATAAGTAACACCACCGAGTAACAATAAAGAAAAAGGGTATCAGTGAAAAACTAGAAGCTTTCTGAATTTGTTAGAGCTAAAATCGTTTGAATTTTCTACAGGTTAGAGAGGAATCTAGTGTATCTTCCTTGGGGACTCTTTGTGACTTTTTTATGACATTAGCTTAATGACAACCACCAGAGACACATGAAAATCTGATTCTGAGGCTTACAGACAGTTCACAGTTCCCCGAGAGATGGTTTTCTGAGGTCTCCTCTTACCAGTAACCTGTATTACAGAAAAAGATTTACCATTTTTCATTCCCTCTTATTTTCCCCTAGGATCTCCATTGTTACTGTTCAGGGTTTTGAAAAGGAAACACAGTCAGGTCAGGGACCACAGAATGTTTGTGTCAGTGGACACAAATGCGAAAATACTGTGTATAATTCATGGTGGGCTACTTTGTGTCATTTATCTTCACTTGTGTGAGGAGTCAGATAAGTCACTCCTGACTCTGCTAGCCTTGATCCATTCTTCATCACTACACTTATAGAGATAAATGCCACAGCTATCCTATGTCCTTTCAGAGTAGAGATTCAGACTAATAAGAGTAAAGGTCAGCTATTATTTAAAAATGAAGAACACTCCGAGTGTACCATTTCCTATGTGCACAAATCTTGTTCTGGCTCAGCTTTATATGCTGTAGAGTTGAATGTGTAGTATCTGTACATTGATGTATCTATAGATACTTCTTAATTTCAACTGAAAATACCATTTTCAAGTAAATGGAAACCACTTATACTGTGGTAATAAATGGATTGATTAATGGTAATCTTTGTTATCCAAGAAATCATAAGCAAAATGAAAAGAATACAGTGATAATAAATAATAATCAAGTATTTGAATGTCTTTTTCTGAACAAGTCACATGTGAAAGGACCCAGTCGCCTGAAGAAAAAAAGAAAAAAACCGAGACATAACATTTGAGCTGTGATATTAGACAATGCAGTGTGAAAACCTTGCCTTTATAAATGAAAGAGCTGTGGCACCAGTGGGCTATAATGCCCTTCAGCTCTACACTTGAGGAGTAAACTATAAGGCAACTAAGCACTAAGACATATTTATCACTCAATTGCTGGACTGAATAAGCATAGAAGGAAGAGTTTTCCATTGTCATCAATGCATTCCTTCTTTATTATCTGGTTGCTATCCTTCATAACTAACAAGAATGTAAACACGTTTTCTGCAAATCTGAAGCAAATATTGGTGTTATAATGGTTTATCATTGGAATTTATGTTTGAGTTATGATTCTTACAAAAAAGAAGGCCATAAATTTGAAAAACAGCAAGGAGTTAATACATAGAATGGATGGGGGAAGGAAAGAAAAGGAGAACAAAGATGTAATTATAATATTTTCACAAAAATAATAATATGAACATAAATCATAGTAATAATTAATATATTTGACCTGTAAATGTGTAACTTTTACTTGATTTAAGTTAATTAATTAATTTATTTACTTTTTTATTGGATATTTTATTTACATTTCAGATGTTCTCCCCTTACCCCATTTCTCTCCCCCCTCCCACCCAAGAACCAGCTATCCCATCTCCCTTCCTCCTGTTTCTATGAGGATGTGCCCCCCCCACCTATCCCCCACTCCCACTTACCCACTCTCAAATTCCCTCACACTTGGCATCCAGCCTTCTTACTTTACATTCCAATATTAGCCCCCTCTCATTCAAGTTCCCCCCACACATCTCCTCCTCCCATTCACCCTCCCCTTCTCATCTGACAAGGCAGAATCACCCCTGGGTATAACATCTTCACTGCAAGTCTAGGGACATCTTCTCTCAATGAGGCTAGACAAGACAGCCCAGTTAGGAAAACTGGATCCTCAGAAAGGTAACAGATTCAAGTAGAGCCCCTCTCCAGTGCTTGGCGGACCAGTATGAAGATAAAGATAAGAAGCTGCACATCTGTTACATATGTGCATGGAGCAAATGTAAGAGTTATTAAGTGCTTGGTAATACATTGTAGTAACTAAATTTCTGGTCAAAATCTGGTTGCATTTTTAGCTATTCCTTTGTCTAGTATATGTGTGTGTGTGCCTGTGTGTATGTGTGTGTGTGTTTATACAAGATGTTTAACTCTTAACTGCCCATTTATTTTAGGCATTGTCTGATTTGATCTATGAGGTGATTATAACTAGAATATTCTATCAGAAAGAAACATTGACTTGCTTAAGTTTACAAATCTAATAAATGAAAACCAAGTGTGGACTGCAGATCTGAATCCAAATGCATGTTTTTCCTGTCATTAGAAAAGTGCATTATTCCAAATGGCCAGTGGTTAAAATAGATGCCTTGGCTTTCTTCCCAGAGCTGTGTTAAAATACAGTGGTGATTTAATAAATATTGTCACCAGCAGTATCTGTGTTGTTGGTCATGGCAGATCAAGAATTGTGCTGGATTGTTCCAATGGATAAAGTTTATTTTTTTGTTTTTGTTTTTTAGGTTGGCAAATACATTCCTTATTTACTGCATAGAGACCCCAATGGAGAACAAGGTGGGTGATGATTCATGCCAAATGGTTCCCACAATATGCTGAATACTACAACAGCAGCTAACATGAAATGGTTCATTATATGCTGTCAAATCCAATAACAGCAATGACAGACTTCCCTTACTACAGCAATTTGTGGGAAGTCCAGCCACTAAAAAAGGGACTGATTTAAAACAACAACAACAACAACAACAAAAAGAACCCTACAAAATAGCAGAAATAACCTATCCATTAAGTCTTATTTTCTAACTTTGTGTTGGTTTCCTCTTGAAACAGTCTTCATACTTTCTGATTGAACTACAGAGACAACTGACCTTGAGATTAGCTTCTCTTGTGAAACCTCCTCCCTTCAGAACATTGTGCAGAATATATACTTTGCGTAGGTCTTGGGGTTCCTAAGCACAACTGCTTATATGACTCTCCTCTGAGAACAGCCATGATGCACCAGCCATCATACCTCATCCTCTGAATAGTCATCATCTTCTCTGTCTCTGTCTTTCTTTCTCTATCTCTCTGTCTCTGTTTCTGTCTCTCTCTGTCTCTGTCTCTCTCTCTGCCTTTCTCTCTCTCTCTCTCTCTCTCTCTCTCTCTCTCTCTCTCTCCTCTCTCTCTTTCTCCCTCTCTCTTTCTACCTCTCTCTTATACACACACACACACACACACACACACACACACACACACACAATTTTTTCTTATTTTCAGTTACCACAGCACCCACAATGAAATTCCTACTTATTGATGTCTAAGGCCAGGAGGCAGCAGACTGGATAACGACTCTTTCTTTATGATTATGCATCCCTTTGTCTCACAAAATTATAATCTACTTGAGGAGGTCAACTTTTATATAGTGTCTATAAATCATGTTCATCTCACATTACTATGTAGTGACCAAATCAGCCAATTATTAGTCTGGGAAAAGTGTATAAAGAAGGAAGGGGATAGTGTATAATATTCCTGCCTTCTCTGTCCCTTAGCACAGGGACTAACACTGTGTAGGTAAAACAAAAAAAAAAATACATGTTTGCTTTGTGAAAGAGAAAGAAATGAATAATGAATAAATCCATCAATCAGATGGTTCTCTGTGGCCAAATTAAAGACCAGACAGAGAAATTCTGATTACTTGAAATCATTTTTTTTTCTCTGGCCACAAGGCAAAATGCCCTGAAAATGTTTGTTTATTTTGGAAGGCAAAAGCTGATCTGAAGCTATTTTCTTTATTTTTATATTCAAATGCCTATAAAACAGAAAAGCACTAGAGACCTATTCATTGCTCACAAATGATCTATAGGGTAATAATGTGTTGGCTTTTCCAGCTGTGCTGCACTTTGGTACTATCTTGGGTTTAATTGAAAATATGCTGTGACCTTGGTTTTGTTCACTGGGCGAAGGGGGGACATAATTGGCATGAAGCCTCTGAAGAACTCTCTTTTCAATGAATGTCATTTGGTTAATTTGGGGTTCGCCTGAGGGAAATAATGTGTGAAGTTCTGTACATACAATGCGCTTTTTATTCACATGCCATTAACATGAAGTTAACAGCATTTTGAAAATCAGCATTTTATTTTGCAAAACTGATTTGTTGATTCCTAAATGCTATCAGTATGATAATAGTATTGTCCTTAACAGTCTCATGTTCCATTATAATTAAATAAACAGCTTTAGGATTGCAGTCCAAAAATGTCTATGCTCCATTCTTAACTTAAGGAGTTTCCATAGAAACCGTGGGCAGCAAGTTTAACTGACATTTATTGGGCTTGAGGCTATATGGCGCTTTGAAATCTCTATTTTCCTCTCCATCATTCTGTATGTGAATCTTCTTTGGTTTATTAAACCCTTGAAAACATCAGTTGCCCAAGTCCGTTCCTCCCTCTCCTCATCCCTCAACCTTCCTCCTCTTCCCCCTCCTCCTGCTTTTCCTCTTCTCTGTCTCTTATTAACATTGAGGAAGTAATTTGGACTCAGTTAGATTTAACAAATGCAATAATACTAAAATGCACTCTGATACTTAAGTGTAATTGTGTTATTAGCTGGAAATGCTTTTCTTCAAAAATAAAAAGAATTGAGAGTGAAGTTTACCAATGTAATACATGCTGTCAGGAAGGAAACATTGGTGGCTGGTTGCAAGTTTGTGGTGCATTTACCAAGATCCATTTTCTTCTCAGACTGTGACTATTCCTTGATTTATCCAAGTGAGATGGAATGTTTTTCTTATCTTGAGAAGGGAGCAGAATCACATTTTGATCATATTAATCCAGAAAAATAGAAAAGTTGTTCCAGGAAAGAAAAAACTAACAAACAAACAAAAAAACCGAAAACAAACAAACAAACAAACAAACAAGTACCATCAGGACCCAATGACTTTGCTAAGTGTTTTCGTCTAAGTTGTCATTTAACAAACATCACTGAGAAGCAATGACACTGGTGGCATTAGTCTAGACTCTACCCGAACTGATTATAACAACATAGATAGATGTGAAAGTATGCCATCTTCTGTCAGTCTGACTCTTTGATTTTTCTGATACTTTTCCTTCTCCATATGGATTCAAAGTAAAGAAAAAAAAGCAAACAAAAACAATAACTAAGTTTAACATATATATATATATATATATATATATATATATATATATATACACAAACTCAAAAAGGTTTATAAAAAGGAAAATAACATGAAAGCAATGGCAGAAGAAAAAAGAACCCTACTGAGTAGGATACAAAATAGAGTTTCAGAGTATCCTAAGAATATGATCCTAGTATCCTGAGTGATATAGCTGACTTTATCCTATTTCTAGTATTCTTTTTCAATGATAAAAGTCTCAAATTCATTATTCCTAGTTTAGATCTTCTTTTCAATGATATAGCTGCTAAATTCCAACTGATATGACTTAGAGTTTATCTTTCTAGTGAAGATGAAAGGAACCTAGTCTGTTGGGTTAGAGGCAAAGACAGGAGAGGACAGATATGTGCATCTATCTAATACCAGTGAGGAGATGCTTCTCCATTCTCCCAAAGAATTGGCAAATGAAGCCACAGGATGGGTAAGGTGTTGATTTTCTATAGCAATATGAGCAAGCACTGTATGTTAGAGAAAAATAGTGAGAAAAATTCACTCAATACATTATTTTTTAAGAAGCAAACAATTTATGTATCACTGGTAAAGGATGTTGGATAACTGAACAATTAGTAAGAATTGGTGTGATCAAAACATGAGGAATTACAGCTGTAACCAAGCTCAATGAGACATGACTCCTGGTAAGAGCATTTGCTTGTAAACCACCATCAAGACATGTACCCAGTGGGTGGGTGGGGGAACACCCTCCTAGAAGCAGGAGGAGGGGGATAGGATGGGGTTCCTGGGAGAGGACCAGGAAAGGGGATAACATTTGAAATGTAAATGAAGAGAATATCCAATAAAAAAGAGACATGTACCCAAGGGAAAACACAGGTATATAAGGTTAACCAGGACAAAGATTGTCTTATCATTTTGTAGGTTATTCGTACTCCTTTTATTGCTGTGTGGTTACACCTGGTTCATTAACATAGCCCTTCTACATAACTCTTAAAAGAATTGTCTTAAGCCACAATCTCCATTTTATGTTAGATGTCTAATTTAAAGGTAGATATTAGAATGCCTAAAACCACACAGACAGCCCCACAGATGACCTTGCTACTCAACTTAGTGCAAGTATATAAGTACGGCAGCCCTTCTGTCACGGGACTCCTTTTTATTAGGATTCTTCACATGTATAATATGATCCATGATGCCACTGACAACCATATAAGTGAAATTTAATTTTTTTTAGTTCTTAGATGAAAATTAATTATAAATAGAAACTTAAAATTGTTCTCCCAGAATTAAATACATCCACTTGGTTGCCTTCATTTCAGTTGACATGACAACATAGCTGTAGAAAGCTTCAGAAGGGTCCACTGTAGATGCAGGCTATAGGCAGTTTGTAACTGTTGAGGGAAATAAGAAGTAGTTATCTCCAGAGACAAAGTCTCTCATAGGTTATCCAGTCCCAAGTAGTCAAGTGGGCATCCCTAACCACATGAACCTATAGATGATACTAATTCAACTAGGTAGGGTATGTGTGCGTTTGTGTGTGTGTGTGTGTGTGTGTGTGTTTGACAATAATCATCATAGAAGAAGTCACAGGAGTAGTTGGTGGAAAACATGGGATGAGTAAGGGAGGAGAGACAGAGTGGTAGAGGGATGTAAATACAGTTTATACACGTATGAAATTCTCAAAAATATGAAAGCTTTAAGAACTATGAAAGAAATACAAAGAAAATACTTATAGAAATGATTGCAAATTTGTTTTAATAGAACTTCATATACAATCAAAATTGGGGCCAGATTTTACCTATAGATGGAGCTGGTTTCCAAACACTGGCATTAGAATTTTACATGTGTCTGTATGTCTGTTTTGTCCCTGTTAATATGGAAGTTGCAGCTTTGAGAGTAGAAATAGGGAATTCAGCATCAACAGCCACATTCAACATTGTTTACTTCCTTTTTGGTGATTTTTACTTATTTTTCATTAACCTTCATCTTTCTACTATGCACTTGCCATAGAAATAAAGTGTATACTGCTTACAGAATGGCAGAGAAAGTATGACTTACATTATTTTCACCCAATATCTTGAATACACATATTCAATGTTGCCTTATGCTTTCTAAAACAATTTTTGTTCTTTTTCTGCTGCTTAAGTGTATGCAATGTATTGTGAACACATTCCCCTACTCGGTTATCCTGTTCCCCCTCCCACAGCTCGTGACCCACTTATTCCTCACAACCAGTTCTACTTCACCAGTTCTACTTCTGCCTCTCTCTTTTTCTCTCTCCCATCTCTTCTCATCTGTATGTGTTAATGCATGTGTGTGTGTGTGTGTGTGTGTGTGTGTGTGGTGTTTATTTTGCACATCCTGTGCAATTGCTATTATGTGTCCATAATTGCCATTGCAATGCCATTTCCAGGAGACAGCATTTTATAGTGAGCCT